ACAAAAGGTTCCACTGTATATTCCAGGAACTTGTGTCTGTATTTATATACTATTGGAGTGTCAAAATGACCAGACGAAAACCTGGAAAACGATGGAGAAGGACTGGTAATGAAGAAGACCCAAATAAACGACCAAGACGGGCTGCACAATATGTGAGTAGCCTGGCATAGCCGTGTTGCAGCAAACTTGCAGCAGATATGATATTTAATGCCTTATTTTCCTCCCTGCAGTCTGAAATGTGAGTTATCTCAGCTTGTATAATTAATGTTCTTTGAAAAGTGTTCACTCACTTTTAAGTTAAGGCTGTTAATAACATAAGGCCATGAGCCTTTCATATAGGTCACCGTGTGGCTGCAGCCTCATGCTTGGTTTGCTGCTGAGGCATTCTACTCATTGTTGGTTTTGTCTGTCACTGTCAGCCTGTATTATATATATATATCCATCCAAACCCTGTCCAGCTACTCATTCACCTGAGGTCGTTGTGATGAGTTACATTCAACACTCTGAATTACGTGTTATCACAAACACGGAAAGAGATGTAAACCTAAACTGCTACAATGTGATAAAGATGTGGGGGGGAACCCAAAACGCTGCACGTCAAGGGGAACACGTCCAACCTCCGGGTGTCCATGCAGGATGTACCGTACTCACTCTTGAACATCAAGCCTCTCACCACCTGCCAGGTACACACACCCTCTGTCTGTCTGTCTGTCTGTCAGTCTGTAATGATGTACAGTATATTTTGTCACTGAGCAGATCCTGCTAAAATATGACAAAATAATTTGAGTGTAAGAAAGTGATATACAGGCTGAGACGATATAGGTTTTGTGTTGTGACAAGATGTTTTTTGACCCTTAATGATTTTTATTATATTTTATTACCAGCACAAGGTAGTGTGGCACAAGAGAGTATTTCAACTGTTGACTCTGTCGAAGACAATGAAGAACCATCTTCCAGATCAGCCTTCAGAGATCCTCCTGATGGCCTAACGACTGAACTACATGGCAATGCAAGTATGATCCATCTCAATTATTTGAGGAAGCTCTCCCTGATGTGGGGGATTGGACGTCTGATGATGGACATTTGTTCAGTGCAAATCGGAGAGTAGTGTGTGAAGACATGGACATTTGAGGGGGAAATAAACTTTTTTTCGTTGCGAAGGCATTATCTCTGTGATCGATTATTCTGGGCTTTCGGTGAAGCGAGCGGTGGAAAAACAGGTAGGCGACAGTACTGTTTTGTACGGTTTCTGCACAACGTATGAGTGGAAAAGGCATGTTGTTGTCACGTAAGGGCCCTGATCATGTTGCACAGACATTTTAATTGCATTTTGTGTCTGTTAAGAGGAGCAAAAGGCACTCTTTAGGATATGCCCCCAAGAAGTGTATTATAACTAACTGGGAGCTCTGGCCATTAGCTGCAGGATCTCCAGTTTCCTAGAACCAATTCTGGTCATTGTTTTTCCTATCGACAGTACTCAGTGACCTGTAGTGATCAAGACTAGGGTAAAAATCTGCCGAAGTTCCCCTTTAAGACACAGCGAAACAACAGCAGGTTTAACTCCCATACAGCATATATCTACTTTGATAACAGGCAGTAATAATAAGAATAGACAGACTCCAAATCAAAACCTTTATTTAAACATGACATGACACAGGATTTTGAATACAGTTATCACCTCAATGTGTTGATTTGCAGAACAGATAATGGCAGTGAAATGCTGACTAATGATTTTTCGATGCATGTGTGAGGATGAAGAGTAATACATTTATATGCATAAACCTGAAAATGCCACAGTGTATTCCTTCATTACTCCTTTATACAGTATAGACAGTGTGGTAGTTCTCCATGCTGTTTTTATGACCTTGTGAGGGAAGGGGTTGCAGAGAGCTGAACGTCAATCTTCCTGTGGTTCATGCCTCACCAATGATACAGACACTTCTAATAGTCAGACATTTTGTTTTTGATTCAGACTTTTAGCATATGATAGGGAGTCTATGATATCGGTTACATTTCTCACACAGATGGACTGTATGGTTTTTCAAAGCCTGATCACAAATGTCTTGCTAAGGCTTTGGGAAGTCAGCCCGTATTCACTGCTTCTATTATTAGAAAGCTTTGATCTAACGGCCCTCATGGTTTTCACCTCAGTTATGTTCCGACCACGCTGTACTGTCTCTTCTCTCTTACTTAATGGCTCCTCCTCCTAAAATATTAGTCCTTTATGTTCCTGATAAGCAGACTGAGAAGAAATGAAAAGAAATAAAATGTTGAGAATATGAAGATCATTATTCCAAAATCCATGTATGGTTATTGCTATTAGAAAAAAGGCACACAAAAGCTCTGAAGCACATTCATATGATACAGCATCAGTTCCAGTTGCCTCCTCAGTCTATCTGGTGGCAGCATAAATAACATTTGGCTCCGGCTGTCTTCTGTTTGCCTTTGGTCGAAATGCCACTGCTGCGTAGTTCAGGTCAGAGTCTGCATTCTGTGAAAAGAGTATTTACAGTCTGAATGTGGTGGATTGACATGATTTTAATTCATCCAATATAGCCAGATGGATACTGGACTCAAGAGGCCGATACCAATATTGATATTTTGTCAATATTAATTTCTAAATACGTACGATTGTAAGACTTTACAACACAGTACACGTCAAGAACATCCTTAATCCCTAATAAACACTTACTGAAATACTCCAAACCCAGGACTACATAGCTATACATACTATATTATGTATATTATGAACTAGAAAACATTGCTGGGGAGAGGGACGTCTGGAGCCCCCTGCTTAATCTGCTGCCACGGCAACCGGACCCCAGGTAAACAGATGAAAATGGATGGATGAATGGACTATATTATGTAACATACTTCGTATAATGTATCAATTTACTTGAAGGGGCACAAGATATATTATCACCCCATCAGTTCTTTAGAAAATCATCACTATCTACTATATAGTCCTCCATTTGGAGTTATTCACTAACTACTTCTTAACAATTCATTAATTATCAGGTCTTTCCTCACTCATTCCTATGTCACCACACACAATGTTGTGTACCGTGTTGTAAAGTGTGACCCATACATTCCTGATAAGATGTCCTTACGTTTGTTCTTTAAAGGATTGTGACAAACTTTAAAAATAAACTTGTTAGTGCTCTCTAATGGACAAACTATGAAATCGTGGCACTGTTTGAACTGTACCTCAATCCTCATTTTGTCATTTCTTTACTGCATTTTCTTGTTACTTATTCAATACAAATATGCACTAATATATATGAATACACCAATATGTCAGGGACAAGTTAATGTTAGCTGAGTCAATATAGCTCTGGCGAGTAAATATTAAAATTGGATTCACCTCTCTTTGCTCTGGATTCTGTTCTTCTTTATCAGCTAAGTGACAGAAACAAAACATCTGGTCAGTTCATTGATCATTGTCTTTGGTAAACCAGGAGTTTAGCATTTTTTAATCATATTGACACAACTTTAAACAACAAAAAATATTAGAATAGAATAGAATGCCTTTATTGTCACTGTACGCATGTACGATGAGATTAAAAAGCCAACTCCAATAGCAGTGCAAAAAACAGTGTAAAGAATGAAAAATATATACAATATAAACATAGGACATAAAGTAATAGCACAAAAAAGGGAGGTAAGGTACACAGTCCTGAGGAGTATATACATTTCCAAAATAAATACGGTGCTATATACAGTGTTAAATATATATAAATATTGCACATTATGGTATGGAATATTGCACATTGTATGGTATTGCACAGTAGGTAAGGTTTTTAACAGTTTAATAGTGACAACAGTGCATGTGAGAGTCCAGAGTGGTTATTGCTTTTGGGAAGAAGCTGTTTTTGAGTCTATTTGTTTTAGTCTTAATGCACCTGTAGCACCTCCCTGAGGGCAACAGGTCAAACAGGTCAAAGCCAGGGAGGGAGCTGTCTTTGGTGATGGTTTTATCTCTGTTGAGGCATATATGTATGTATGTATGTATGTATGTATGTATGTATATGTAAGATAGAGACAGTAGCACTGACAAAAAGTACCTGTCTGAAGTTTCCTGTTTTTGACAACCAGACCAATGATGACCATTACAAGGACAACAGTCAGATGCCCAGGACGACAATCATCAGCTTTGCTATTCCATCAGACTCTTCTATTCCATCAGACTCTTCTACAAGAAATAACATTAAGTTAGACGCTATTTCCCCTTTAGAGACTTGAGACCACGCTAAAACTGTTTCACCTTCAAACATTTGATAATCTGCACAATGAAAGAAATCTTTAGGAGAATCTTACTTTTACACTGGCTGCCTGCGTCATCATGTGGCTCATCGCTGCCTCCTAAAGAAATAAGGATACCTTTAGTCTTGATATTATTTTGGCAGATTTTCCTCATAATGACAGTTTGTCAGTCTTTAAATTGTCACTATGTTGCCTGTGTTGTTAGAAGATAATTGTGAGAATCTGAACAAAGAATGGGTACCAGAAGAAAGACTTTAGAATGACCTTACCTTTAACATGTAAATGTATCACATTGAAATTCGGATGTCCACTTTGGTAAAATCCACAGAGATACAGTCCAGAGTCAGATAAGTCCACATGTTTGATCCTGAGAAAGACAGTGGAGATGTTGGATGTCATATTATATTTTCCTTTTCGAAATCCGTCGCAGTGTTGAACTTCGTCAGTGATCATAACAGTGATACAGCTGGCCTTTGTACCGTTGACCTGTTTGACCCAGAATGTCGGAGTGCTGCGTTTGGACATGTTGGTACTCAGCAGTGTGACTGTGTCACCAACCTGAGCCTCCACAGTCTGAGACTCAGAACCTGAGACAGAGATCCAGCCTGAAACACACAAGGTTTACTTTCAATGAGACAAAAAGAACATGAACAATAACTCTTACATAACTCAATACTTTCAGTCCTGGTTAGTTAGAGCTACCAAAGTTATAAATGTAATTCAATGCCAGTACTCACTGAAGCTGCAGAGACTTAAAGCTGTTATCAAGGTAAAGTTCTTCATGGTGAGTGTGACTGAAGCTCTGCAATGTCCACAATGAACTGTGCTTCAGTAAGGCTGCTTTCTACATAAAGAGGCGGGCTGTTTGTAGTTGCTTATCCTGTTCCTCAAACTGATCACATACACGCTTTCAGGAAAAGAAGTGTTGATGCAGAATGTTAGCTGTTCTAAGTTATACTTCAGACCATTTAACAATACTTTAATAACAGACATTGATATTATGTAATGACACATCAAATCCTTTATGTAAGATTCCTGAAATAACAGATCCTGACTATAGAATAGATCAATCATCAGCTCAGGTTGCCTGTTCATTTATAATGCTTAAAATATTTTCTAGGATGACCTCTGCTAAAGAAGCACTCATACAGACGCTATAAGTTGTCCTACAGTTGTGTAAACCTTTTTGCTCAGGCAGGATCTTTTTGTTTTAGTAGTTACTACTACTATTACTACTACTCAGCTACTATTTTCTTTACGTCTTCCACTCTGCACTGTCTTGTAGAAGCTGTAGCTGACTTTAGTTTAAAGCTTGAGTGAAGACACTCTTATCATATGAACCTAGATGACCTAACACACCCACTGGTATCAACCATGTCATAGTTATGGTAAATGGTAAAAGGACTGTACTCAGTGACAGCTGGTGGAGATTTTGGGTGGGTGGGCTAACAAATGCATTACACTCATCAATACGCCACACAGCAGCAACAGCAGCAACTGTAGCATCAAGTTACAGCAACAACATTGTATATTTTGTTATAGTAAGGGCTCTACGGCAACTCTGGGGAGACATACCCAAAAGAATGACCTGATGCCAAAAAAAAATCTCTCTCTCTCTCTCTCTCTCTCTCTCTCTCTCTCTCTCTCCTCTGTACACATCAGCACATGCCAATTGCACTACAACATTATAGAAAAGTACCAGCAACAATTTCACACCATAAACCAGAAATAAAACTATAAACCAAAGCAAAATAATTATTTGTAGGGGTTGTTTCAGAGCTTGGGCATACCTTATTTAAACGCCGCCACATCGGCCTTCTGTGATGCAAACAGGTTAATCACCATGTCAAACTCCACACTGCTGTACCTCACCATCAGCTCACCTTTCAGTTTCTCCATGCAGATCATTGGGTAATGTTCACATGCAAAGACAACAAGTGCCTGGCTTTCTCAAAGCGCACTGTGCGGCTACTGAGACATTATCAGAGCGCCACATCCTGCGCGGCGTTACAGCGGCTGCAGCTGTGTCCACATCTGGATGTGGCTGATTGTCATCTTTGGTCAGCAGTTCAGATATGAAGCACAAGAAATTCTCCAGGCCCTGTCTCGTTTTGAGAGAATCTGTGGTCTTAGATGTGTACTTTGCAACCTGTGTGTTTGACAGGTGATCGGCTGATTGACTGTCTAAAAAAGAGAACTGGTCGCTGCTGGAGTGAAGTGGGAGATTATTCGGACCCCCGCAGGGCGAGCTCATGTCCCCCACAAAATGTAATACAGTCCACAATCCGTGATAGTGAATGCCTGTTTTTCTTTACCAGCTCGTTGTGTCTCTGTACAGCGATGCAGTGACTCTCATTAAGCTGACAGGCGATGTTCACTTTACCCAGCAATGACAGCTTTACACTATTTCTGATGTGACTCGTGCTGCATTCATGTTTCCTAATTTTGTTGGATAAATATCTTAAATTCACAATTCCTTGTTGGGTCCAAGCAGTGTCTCCTCCAAAAAACAAACATGGGAAACAGAAAAGTGAATTCCAAGCTACACTTGTTGTTAACCAGTCCATTAGCTGAAACCACGTAACACAAAATTACGATTTTGTCGTTTGTTCTTTTGTGTTATCTGAACATCATTTTGATGATGTGTCCCCAATCTCTGTACTTCCAATGTTTCCTCCAAAGACTTTAAAGAAAATTGAATGGAAATGAGTTCTATGGGTCTCCTTTTTGCAGCCTTGCAAATCCCATACAGTTTTTTTTTGCTTGTGGTATGAATGTGTTCTCTTTTGCCTAGTGCATTTGTATATTGACACAGTGACGTCCATAAACAGTAATGAAATTGCATAAATATGGAATGCCTAGAAAATGTACACATGCTTCATGCCACCCCTGAATATGTCAGTGCCCCACTCATGCCACCCCAAAAGGTACCAGGTCAGGACTTAATGTATGACGCACTTTTTAGTTGAGGAAATGTTTTGCTTTTCATTTGGTGTGTAATAGCTGCACACTTTTACAATTGTGGAATGAAAGAATCACTTTAGGCCTACAATGATGAGAGATGAAAATGGGAAAAAAATATTATTCATTTCCATATAATTTTTGTGGAAGTCACAGGGTGCCACTGGAGAGTGACTAAGGAGCCGCATGTGGCAGTTTGTCTACCCATGGTCAATGATAATCCATACAGCTAGAAAATGTATATTGACTGAAATCATAAAGGTAACATCATTATGATAACATCCATTTAAAATCCCATATATTCACCATACATATATTCACCACATATACCATACATGAGTCTGACGAAACAAGCATATGAACAACAACTTGACTGTCAGGCAGAGGCATACAACACATTGAAACAATATGGCGCCCCTCCATCCTCTGTGATCTGTCTTAAACATGTGCAGCCTGTAGAGTGGATGGTTTCATATGAGGCTGTCTCACTGTACCACTAGTATCACAAGTAGCAAGTACCACTGTGCTTCAGATATAGTTTCACACGTTTGATAGAGGAGCGTCAGTCTTTCAGATGTGTAAAGATACAGATACAGATATCTCCCTGAAATAGACTGTGCTGTTTGTCACCCCAGTACATGTGCAAGGGCATGTAGGTGGCATATATATTTATATTCATTAATACAAGCACCAATCTTTTTAAAATACATTGTATTTTAAATTCAGACATGTAATACATTGACATCAGTTAAAATATCCAGTTTGCACACTGATGTTTGGCTTAAAAAACACTATTTGCTTTATTCGCACAAAACTTTGATGGAACAGACCACATGGTTTACACCTCAGATGTGCTCAGACCACACTGTACTGGTGACGTGTACCTCACTCACTCCTCCACTGCTGCAGGCCTCCATTTATCTATTATCTATCTGGATCACTGTTTCCTGCTACAGACGAGTCTACACTGCGCAGTCAATGAGCGCAGCTTAACTCGCAGTGTGTTACCTCCACTGACTCCAACAAACTGTCATGATAGGTTCACACTTGGTACAGAGGTAGTATTCAGGGGCGTGTCCAGAGGGGGGACCTGTGGTGTTACTCGCTATAAGTTAAATAAAATTTAGCAGATAGAAAAACTGGTGTATTTAATTTGTTTTTGCATACTGCACAAATTGGGAATGACTGAAAAACTGTGACATATTTCATGCTACCCCTGAGTAAGTCAGTGCCCCAATTGTCCCCCCCCAAATGTTTGGAAATGCCCCTGGTGGTCTCCCACGCTGGTGATTACCTCTCAGGTAGTGGTACTTTGTGTAAACCTGACTGTATCTGATGGTTTGTTACACAGAGCCATTTGGGAAGTTGTCTTTGAAAACCGTTTTGTGGAAATTATGACAACATTTCACACAAATGTTTAATGGGATACAACGATGAAGTGATGACTTGTTTTACCAAAAGGTCAAAGGTCAGCTTCACATCATAATGTCCTTTGGCCGGTATTCAACACCATAAATCAGGAACACAAGGGGGGATTATTTTGAGTAATTATAATTAATAGTTAAAATTATAATAATAATCTGTTGTAAGTAGTTTAAAAAAATAAGCAATGAAACTATTGAAAATAACTATGGGTAAAAATGGCAATGTTATCACACTGACAGAAGGACTGATAACTGAGGCATTCTCACAATTGGTGATGGGGTGCATTTACATGTATATTTTTAGTGTAAGGTAACGCATGTAAACCATTACCTGATTTCCAGCCATAGCCTGATTACTCGTAATAGTCAGATTTCTTGTGTGCAAGTAAACATATTGACTGACCTGTCTGTGCCATGATGATTAAAAACATGAAACACTTATCTGTGTCTTTTTCCTCACAGGCAGATGCTTTGGTGTCTCTGTGGAATAGAAGATTACAGTCCAGTCAAATGTCCACACCAAAAAACAAATAACAAAAACACTATCTCACATATCACACAATTCTTAATTCTTTCTCGTTCTTTTTGATTAATTAAATCACATGAGAGAATCAGCTTGACAAATGAGCTATGGTTATAAATAGTAATCAGAATACCAATTCAATTCATTAAAGTATTACAACTACCCTAAAAACAATATTTACGTACCTGATGTTTTCTTTTTTCGTCTTAGATTAAGCTCTGTGCCTGTGTCTGACCCTGTGGAGACAGATATAGGTTTGGAGAGGGAAATTAGTCATATACCAAATTAAGCTTTAACTAATCAATTCAAAGACTAGAGCATCACACCACAAATCAAATGCAGCAGTACAAGAAGGTAAATTAGTAGGTGTCCATACTGTATTTGGTTATCCCAATTTGTTTCAACAAGTGCTGATCCTTCATTTCTGGCTTGTTCAGGGAACGCAAGGGGTGAGTAAATGGGTCAAAACAGACAGGGCTGATCCTGTGGTGAGTATACCAGATATACAGATTTATACCCTCACACTGTGTGACCTCCAAGGGGTCACACAGTGTGAGGGTAAGTGTGATCACCTGATCATCAGCTGCAGGAATTTCCTGACTCCAACCTATACCTATGCTAAGTTAAAACAAGAGTTCTGTTATGCTTACTTAGAACAAAGAGGTCAACCAAGAGCTTCAACTGTGCCCGATTTAATCTCTGAGAATTGTGTAGTCCTATTCTTCTTGATAGTTTACTGTCTTTTATAGTAGATATCTGTAAATCTGTGTTTGATTTTATGTGACTATAACAAATAAATAGAGTACACTGTTTATACAGGAAAAAACACACAGCAATCATAATATCTATTCAAAGAATGACACACTGGACTGTGTGTGCTAAAAAACCGAGTCGTGATGTACGCCATCAACATTTAATGGTTTTCTTTTGGTTTGTGCTATTTTTGTCAATGGTCCATCTGCATCTTAAGCTCATAATTTGAGAGTATATGATCTTCATATTAACTTGTAGTTTGCAAAATCTTACAAAATGGTTTTTCAAACCAAACACTAGTTGTGAACTGTAAATTCAAAAATACAGTGCGTCCATCTCACCTTCACAAATAGACTCATAAAATGAGCCCATCTTCTGGAGTGAGTTCTGGGCCTGAAGAGTAAGTTCGCCACAAGGCGTTAAAACTTCACAATTTGTTGCTCCCGTCTTTGTCTCCTTGCCAAGAAGGAGAACCGGCTTGTAGCCCATGGCATGGAGTTTCTCAAGCTGCAACGACAAAATGATGTATTTGCTGGTTAAAAAATGTAAAAGCAACAGCATAAATCACTAAGTATATTACTGTAATTATTAAATATAAAAATACATCAAATATATAACATTATTGATGACAGTATCCAGGTTAATGTCATTCATGATGGCCTTATCATCATGGTGAATTTAGCTGGATACAGAAAAGGCTCAAACAGTAGAAACAGAAACTAACTCTTCTATATAGACAAACAGAAATGTATTATCTCATACACTCTCCTCCAAGCAGAAGTTGAACATCACTAACTATGGATACAATCAAACTTTGTGGCACATTTATGGCACAGTTTTGGCATCTACATACATGGGAATGTTAACTTTTGTGATTCTATGACTGAATGGGTCATATGTACATTGTTAAGTGCTTTGAGTAATATGAACAGGGTTCATATTACATAGCACCAGTCACCAGCAAAATTCTGGTAAAATGTGCAAGTGAGTGGTATCACTCACCAGTAAAAAAAAATCAGTGGTAATCTACTGAGTGACTGGTAAATTAAAAACTAAATAAAATTTGAACATTAACTATCCATTGGCCGATGGACAAAAAAGTTAATTTTGAAATCTGAGTATGAATGAAGTTCTGACCTTGTAGTGGCATGCTCTCTTGGTCATTAATGGTACCACTTACTATAATTTATTTTCTAGATTATCTGGACAATTTAATGTTAAATAAAAACGGTACATACTACATACCAGGACTATAGATTCATCCTTAACCCTTTACTAGATTTTGACATCTAAATTTCAGAAGGCTCTGGCTTGAAAGTGGTTTGAGATAGAGACAAAGTGTAAATGAGACAAATATTGAGAATGACCTAAAGTTTATCTAGGGAGTCAATGTCCCCATCTAATTTGCATATTATGATGTCATATGGCGACGGCCATATTGGATTTTATAATTTCCATGAAATACCTGATATTTTGAAAGAGAGTTGAACTTATTTCATCAGATTCACCCCCCTCCATCCATTTGTTATGTTGTCCACGTATCAAATGAACAGGGAAAAAGTAAATTGTAAGTCAACAGTCGTAAACTAGAACTATTACTACACCACAAAACTCATGTAAACAGTAGGCGTTTTTTATAATTTTTTACCCACCACCACCCCCACTATTGGAGGACACTTTTTCTTTTCTTTTTTATTCTCTTCTTCTATTATTATTATTATTATTATTATTATTATATGATAATAATAATAACAGTAGGTGTCTTTTAGCTGCAGAGGCCTAATCTGTGCCCATCTATCCAGATAAAAGTTTGTAGTATTTGTAGAGTGTGGAACCTCTCATTGCAAGGCACAGTACAGAGACAATATGAACAATATTGAGACCCCCCCCCACATAGCCTAACAAATGGACAGGCACACCACTGCCGCACATGGACACACTGTGACCGGCGCGGTACAAAGAGTGAACACTAATGCTGGTCCCAGCGCTATTATCACCACCCCCGCTACTTCTACCACATCCATTAGCTCCCTTACTGATACTACGAGTTTGTGTAGTACTCCCACCTATGTTGGGCAAAGGGTCGTGTGTTTGTGCTTGTGTGTGTTCCTCGCTTTGCCCGGAAGCGCTGGTGCAAAGATGCACCGTGGCTATCACGCTCACTAATCGACTGGCCGTCATCTCCCAAAGGTAGATTTTCCCCTTCAGAATCAGAGTCAGCGAATAGGAGACCCATCACTTCCCTAATCATCAACTTTTTGCTTGCCATTTTCGTTTAATTCGTCTCAATAACTCCTAAATCCAGCAATACCGCTTCAGCATAAATAGCGCCGTGGCGCACTATTTCCGGTTTCTCACCCAACAGTTTGGACGGGACTTCCTCGAACATTTTGCATTGAAACATGACGTTTTTCTGAGCTAAGGTCTAAGTACGGGATGTCTGCCAACTAGTGGAGGGGAGTATGAATGAGATATAACACTCTATTAGGAGAAAACAGCTGTTTGATTCAGTACCGCGTCCTGTCGCCCTGTGTTTGCACTGCCATGTGCAACACTAGATAAGATCGCGGTTCCACATAGAATGATCGAAAAAGGCCAATTATTTCCAGACTTCTTTATTAAAATGGCAATCCTTTGTTTTGTTGCACACAGAATTCTGGGACTTGTAGTATTAAACCCTCATTTGCTTTCAGACCTACCACCAGTCACTAGGTGTCGACAAATCAACCAGGTCTGAAATCTTAAGGGGAACAGTGACAGTCTTTATGAAACTACTCCCTTTAAGATTCTTTTATTAGAAAGCTTTGATCTAACAGGTCTCTAGGTTTTCAGTTATGCTCAGACCACACTGTGCTCTCTCTTCCTGTCAAATAAGGGTTGTGTACCTCACCTGCCCCTCCCTTGCTGACATATATATAGATAGACAAAGTACCTGTATGAAGTTTCCTGCTTTTTGACAACCAGACCAATGATGACCATTACAAGGACAACAGTCAGACCGCCCAGGATGACAATCATCAGCTCTGCTATTCCTTTTAGAACCAAGATCATTAAGTTAGACTCTATTTGCCCTTTAGAGATTTGAGACTGGGTTTAAATTACAATGGACTAAACTGAATTTAGTTAAACTGTTTCACCTTCAAACATTTGATAATCTGCACAATGAATTAAATCTTTAGAAGAATCTTACTTTTATACTTGCTGTCCACGTCATCATGTGGCCCATCGCTGTCTTTTCAAAGAAATCAGGATAAATTTAGTTATATTATTTTGGCAGATCTTCCTTATGATGACATTTTCTCTGTGTTAAAATTACACACCAGATCTATTTGTTTTTGTTGCATTTCCTCAACTAAAATGTGACTCATACGTTAGGTCCTGACCTGGTACCTTTTGGGGTGGCACACGTGGGGCACTGATTTATGCAGGAGTGCCATGTGTCTCAATTTTCTAGGCATTCCCAATTCATGCATTGTCAATACTGTTTATGGGCAACACTGTGTCAATATACAGATGCACTAGGCAAAAAAAACCCCACATTCATACCACATGTAAAAAAAGTGTGCAAAAGGGAGACCCATAGAATTAATTTCCATTCAGATATCTTAAGGTCAAAGGTCAAGGGAGCCCTTTGAAAATGACAATGCCAGTTTTTCCACTGTCAAAATTTAGCCTAACTTTGGTATGATATTTAGCCCCCTTGCTGTCATACTAACAATGACAAGATTGATACCAGTGGTTGTGTTAAGTCATCTAGGTTCATATGATACCAGTGTTTTCACTCAAGCTTTAAACTAAAGCCAGCTACAGCTTCTACAAGACAGTGCAGAGTGGAAGACATAAGGAAAATGGGTGGCACTGAAAATCTGCACGTGCAAACCACCACTGTACTAAAACAAAAAGATCCTGCCTGAGCAAAACAGTCTACACAACTGTAGGACAACTTTTAGTTCCTCACCTACAAAACTTGAGTGTTTTTCAGCAGAGGTCATTTAAAAAATATTTTAAGCATTGTAAATTAACAGACAAGCTGAGCTGATGATTGAGATCCTGTCTATGGTCAGGACTAACAATAGTTATGTACATCTGTTATTTTGCATAAGGGAATCTAAAATAAAGAATTTGTCATTTGTACATAATAGCAGGATCTCTTGTTAAAGTATTGACAGATAACATGGTCTGAAGTATAACTTAGACCAGCTAACATTCTGCATCAACACTTCTTTTCCTGAAAGCGTGTATGTGGTCAGTTTGAGTAACAAGATAAGCAACTACAAACAGCCCGCCTCTTTATGTAGAAAGCAGCCTTACTGAAGCACAGTTCATTGTGGACATTGCAGAGCTTCAGTCACACTCACCATGAAGAACTTTACCTTGATAACAGCTTTAAGTCTCTGCAGCTTCAGTGAGTACTGGCATTGAATTACATTTATAACTTTGGTAGCTCTAACTAACCAGGACTGAAAGTATTGAGTTATGTAAGAGTTATTGTTCATGTTCTTTTTGTCTCATTGAAAGTAAATCTTGTGTGTTTCAGGCTGGATCTCTGTCTCAGGTTCTGAGTCTCAGACTGTGGAGGCTCAGGTTGGTGAAGAAGTCAGACTGCTGAGTACCAACATGTCCAAATATGACTCTGTGACATTCTGGATCAAAGTGGTCAACGGAACCAAGGCCAGCTGTATCACTGTTAAAATCAGAGCTGATGACGAAGTTAAACACTGCGACGGATTTCAAAAAGGAAAATATGAAATGACATCCAACATCTCCACTGTCTTTCTCAGGATCAAAAATGTGGATTTATCTGACTCTGGATTGTATCTCTGTGGATTTTACCAAAGTGGACGTCCGAATTTCACTGTGATACATTTACATGTTAAAGGTAAGGTCATTCTAAAGCCTTTCTTCTGGTACTCATCCTTTGTTCATTTTTTCCCAATTGTCTTCTAAGAACACAGGCAACATAGTGGCAATGTAAAGAATGACGAACTGTCATTGAGAGCAAAATTTGCCAAAATAATATCAAGACTAAATGTATCCTCATTTCTTTAAAAGGCAGCGATGAGCCACATGATGACGTGGACAGCAAGTGTAAAAGTAAGATTCTCCTAAAGATTTCTTTACTGTGCAGATTATCAAATGTTTGAAGGTGAAACAGTTTTAGCCAGCTCTCAAGTCTCTAAAGGGGAAATAGAGTCTAACTCGATGACCTTTCTTGTAGAAGAGTCTGATGGAATAGAAGAGTCTGATGGAATAGCAAAGCTGGTGATTGTCATCCTGGGCAGTCTGACTGTTGTCCTTGTAATGGTCATCATTGGTCTGGTTGTCAAAAACAGGAAACTTCAGACAGGTACTTTGTCTATCTTACGTTTGGTTTTGTTGCTTGTGGAAATGCTCTTAAAGTTGCGTCAATATGCTGGAAAAATACTTAACTGCTGGTTCACCAAAGACAATGATGAATGAACTGACCAGATGTTTTGTTTCTGTTACTTAGCCAATAAAGAAGAACAAAAACCAGAGCAAAGTGAGGTGAATCCAATTTTAACATTTTTCTTCATATTCGTCCCTCTCCCCAGCAATGTTTTGTTGTTCATAATATACATAATATAGTATATATAGCTATGTAGTCCTGGATTTGGAGTATTTCAGTAAGTGTTTATTAGGGATTAAGGATGTTCTTGACATGTTCTGTGTTGTAAATTCTTACAATCCTACGTATTTAGAAATTAATATTGACCAAATATCAATATTGGTATCAGCCTCATAAGTCCAGTATCCATCTGGCTATTTTGGGTGGATTAAATTCATGTCAAGTCACCACATTCAGACTGTAAATACTCTTTTCACAGAATGCAGACTCTGACCTGAACTACGCAGCAGTGGCATTTCGACCAAAGGCAAACAGAAGACAGCCGGAGCCAAATGTTATTTATGCTGCCACCAGATAGACTGAGGAGGCAACTGGAACTGATGCTGTATCATATGAATGTGCTTTAGAGCTGTTGAATGCCTTGTTCCTAACAGCAATAAGCACTCCTACCAAAACAATTTATTTTGCAAGAATTATCTGATGTTCATTAATTTGCAAGCATCTTCATACTGCAGTTTAAATTCTTAACATTTTATTTCTTTACATTTCTTTTCACTCTGCTTATCAGAAACATGGTCAGGAAGAGACAGTACAGCGTGGTCGGAGCATAACTGAGGTGAAAACCATGAGGGCCGTTAGATCAAAGCTTTCTAATAATAGAAGCAGTGAATACGCGCTGACTTCCCAAAGCCTTAGCAAGACATTTGTGATTAGGCTTTGAAAAACCATACAGTCCATTTGTGTGAGAAATGTAACCGATATCATAGAATCCCTATCATATGCTAAAAGTCTGAATCAAAAACAAAATGTCTGACTATTAGAAGTGTCTGTATCATTGGTGAGGCATGAACCACAGGAAGATTGACGTTCAGCTCTCTGCAACCCCTTCCCTCACAAGGTCATAAAAACAGCATGGAGAACTACCACACTGTCTATACTGTATAAAGGAGTAATGAAGGAATACACTGTGGCATTTTCAGGTTGATGCATGCATCGCAAAATCATTAGTCAGCAGCTCACTGCCATTATCTGTTCTGTAAATCAACACATCGAGGTGATAACTGTATTCCATATCCATCATGTCATGTTTGAATAAAGGTTTTGATTTGGAGTCTGTCTATTGTTATTATTACTGCCTGTTATCAAAGTAGATATATATGAAGTTTTATAACTAGGTTCGGAAACAAAGACCACGCCTGTTCACTCCTTCCCCCCAAACCCTTTCTTTTTCTTTCCGTCTCTTATCCAAATACAGGAACCACTGGGGCTCTCTACAAGAGATGCAAAGAGACAGCTCCCCCACCCAGTGTCTCACAAACCACTCAGTTCCTTCTTACCATCTCACCGAACCCCTCCATCCATTTATCCATTTATCCATCCGCCAACAAACCTTCATCCTACGAACTTCATCCCTCGAACTTCATCCCTTTATCCCTGAACTCTCATCCCTTCTACCCTTCATCCCTTCATCCCTCGACCCCTACCCTCATCCCTCAACCATTATCCCTCAACCCTCATCCCTTCATCCCACAACCCTCCATCCCTTCATCCCTCATCCCTTTTTTACATTTTCTGAAAGCAATTTTGCAGGGAGTACTGAAACTGGAAGGAGCAGTTACAGTAAACATCTAGATCTTAAGGCCCAGCTTCCTCTTATTGCTCTCATTAGTGATACAGATACCTCACTGATACAAACAGTGCTGTTTACAACAGTGGAACAATGGACAGGTGTGTACATTTTCATATTTATAGATACTTAATAATCATAATCAGGTTTAATGTACACTGTGTTTCTGAATCAGACATTTATCATATGATCACATATAGACATACTACGATATCAATAACATGTAATTTCGCACTGATGGACTGTATGCTATTTCAAAGCCTTTTAAAGAAAATGGCTTTTGTTTTCTCTGTTTCAGAGGAAATTCTGCCAGTATCAACTACTTCCTTGAAGATTCTTTAATTAGAAAGCTTTGATCTAACAGGTCTCTAGGTTTCAGTTATGCTCAGACCACACTGTGCTCTCTCTTCCTGTCAAATAAGGGATGTGTACCTCACTCGCCCCTCCACTGCTGACGACATGCTTCTTGATTTCACTGAGCACCGCTGTGTCACGCTCGGGCCTCGATGTGGCCACTGTGGCGGATTGTCATCGTTCTAGACAATCTTTGTGATTCTACCAGAGGCTCCATAGAGTGTTTCAGAAGTGGACCTAGACTGTGACTGAGAAATAAAAAGTACTAAGAATTGAAGCATATGCAGTATGAAGATGCTTGTAAATAAGTTTTTATTGCTGTTAGAAACAAGGCATACAAAGCTCTAAAGCACATTCATATGATACAGCATCAGCTCCAGTTGAGTCTATCTAGTGGCAGCATAAATAACATTTGGCTCCGGCTCTCTTCTTTTAGTTTTTGGTCGAAATGCCACTGCTGCGTAGTTCACGTCATCAGAGCCTGCATTCTGTGAAAAGAGTATTTACATGTGGTGACTTGACATTATTTTAACTCCCCTATAGCCAGAACAATACTGGACTTTTGGGGCAGATACCAATATTAATATTTGGTCAATAGATACAATGAACAATTGTAATAAAGATATTAGTTGAGTCAATATAGCCCTTGCTCTTTTTCATCGGGCTTTATCAAACAGTATATATGAGTAATTGTTCAAATTAGATTCACCTCTCTTTGCTCTGGATTCTGTTCTTCTTTATCAGCTAAGTGACAGAAACAAAACATCTGGTCAGTTCATTGATCATTGTCTTTGGTAAACCAGAGGTTTAGCGTTTTTCCAGTACATTGACACAACTTTAAGAGCATTTCCACAAGCAACAACACCAAATGTAAGATAGACAAAGTACCTGTCTGAAGTTTTCTGTTTTTGACAACCAGACCTATGATGACCATTACAAGGACAACAGTCAGACCGCCGAGCACGACAATCATCAGCTCTGCTGTTCCATCAGACTCTTCTACAACCAAGATTATTAAGTTAGACTTATTTCCCCTTCAGAGACTTGAGACTGGGTTTAAATTACAATGGACCAAACTGAATTTAGCTAAACTGTTTCACCTTCAAACATTTGTTAATCTGCACAATGAATGAAATCTTTAGGAGAATCTTACTTTTACACTTGCTGTCCGCGTCATCATGTGGCTCATCGCTGCCTTCTAAAGAAATCAGGATAAATTTAGTTATATTATTTTGGCAGATATTCTTATCATATCTCAGTGTTTAAATTGCCACTATGAAGCATCTGTTGTTAGAAGATAGTTGTGAATACAGTATATAGCATGTAAATGATCAAAATAGCCAAAAAGCTTTACAATGAGCTTACCTTTAACATGCAAATGTATCACACTGAAATTCGGACGTCCACTTTCGTAAAATCCACAAAAATAAAGTCCAGAGTCAGATAATTCCAAATGTTTGATCTTGAGAAAGACAGTGGAGATGTTGGATGTCATTTCATATTTTTCCTTTGAAAATCCGTCGCAGTACACAACAGCGTTATCTGAGGTTATTTTAACAGTGATACAGCTGGCCTTGGTTCCGTTGACCAGTTTGACCCAGAATGTCACAGAGTCGTATTTGGACATGTTGGTACTCAGCAGTGTGACTTCTTCACCAACCTGAGCCTCCACAGTCTGAGACTCAGAACCTGAGACAGAGATCCAGCCTGAAACACACAAGATTTACTTTCAATGAGACAAAAAGAACATGAACAATAACTCTTACATAACTCAATACTTTCAGTCCTGGTTAGTTAGAGCTACCAAAGTTATAAATGTAATTCAATGCCAGTACTCACTGAAGCTGCAGAGACTTAAAGCTGTTATCAAGGTAAAGTTCTTCATGGTGAGTGTGACTGAAGCTCTGCAATGTCCACAATGAACTGTGCTCCAGTAAGGCTGCTTTCTACGTAAAGAGGCGGGCTGTTTGTAGTTGCTTATCCTGTTCCTCAAACTGATCACATACACGCTTTTAGGAAAAGAAGTGTTGATGCAGAATGTTAGTTATTTTAAGTCATACTTCAGACCATGTTATTTGACAATACTTTACTAACAGACATTGATATTATGTAATGACACAACCTTAATGTAATCCCCTTATCTAAAACAACAGATGCACAGAACTATTGTTAGTCTTTACCATAGAAATTACCTCAATCATCAACTCAGCTCAAGTTGGAAATTTATACTGCTTAAAATATTTTCTGGACAGAAAAACAGCATGTAAGCTACTAATGTCGAGATAAGAGTTATCATGCAATTTTCTTACCCCGATGCACTGAACAGGTCTAACAAATTAGGAGGATTTATTGGCAGAAATCATCCACCATGTCAGTCCGCCATCTTGAGCATCCATGTTTTTACAGTAGCCCAGAAAAGATAAAGCAAATACTGGTTCTATATAGAGCCTTTTGGGTTTCTCTCAAGTTTTGTGCCCACTGTAGTTTCTCCTATATGCTTGGAAGGCAAGCAGTTTTCATCACCATTCATCACCAGTGAACCAAATGGACATTTCTGCACAGGGAAGAAGGATATTTTCGTCTTAGTACAGAGGTGGTCTCCCATGTTCCTAGTCACCTCTCAAAAAATCCAGGTGGTGGTCCTTTGTGTTTGCTCTGCACCAACTATTGATCACAGTTGTCTTAACTGTTGTTGTGATTGTTTGACAGAGTTTCCATCTTTCAGCCATCTTTCATTGGGTCCCACCTTGCCATTTTCAAGGGGTATCCTCGTGTAGGAGTCCCAAGTGAAAATGTGGTCTCTATGATGCCCATCTGAATCATCAGTCTTTCTTTCTTTGCTGTTCAGTTGTCTTCTTTGAGCTGTTGGCCACTACCATAGATGCCTCTACACTCCAGCTGTTGGCCTTTTGCTCTGGTATACAGTGGTATCCCTGTCCAGCCTCCACCTCAGACACCTCTGGCCTCCAGCTGTCCATCAACCTGCCCTGACCTAGAGCCAGATCTTCAATTGCTGGCAGACTATTCCAATATCCATCCTCCAGCCCTTCTTAGTGGCTTTGTCAACGCATCTGGCCTCACAGTATCAATAGCTTGAATCTCAGGGCCATCCTCCGGACTTTCTTTGCCCATATGCCCTACCTTCTGGTTGTTGTTCATCAAATAATTTGTACCTATATCTTCAGTTACCTGGCAACTTTTCCAAGCAGGCTCCTCTTGCTCTCCAGTCCAACGGCTCTCTGCCTGACCCCTCCTGCCCTAGCCTCCTGCCTGAGGTCTCTTGCGTTTCCGCTGTCCGGTCCAGTCAGCCTTAAGTTTCTATTACACCGATGTCCAGTGTCAGGGCTACCAGCCTCAGCTTTCCTTGGCTGCTGATCTCTATTATCCAGGCCACCCATCTCATTTGTTCTTCCCTCAGCTCAACAGTCCTTTCCCTTTGCCAGTTCGTCTGTTGTCAGTGTTGTGTACTTGCGTTCCAACTACCTGTACATTTTACTGATTTTCTGCCTTTTATCTGTTACCTGCATTTTGACCTGCTGCCTGTTTATGACCTGCCTGCCTGCTTTGCCTTTCTGGATTTGTCTGCTTCTTAGGACTACCTTCTCGTGCCTGACTGTAAACCTGTTTATTTTAACATTGGTTAAGTAAAATCCTTTTTCCTCAATATGTTCTGCATCAGTCTCTGCATTTGGGTCCCAATCCTATTTCCTTGTACACACATCTGTGAAACATGTAGCATATCATTTAACACACATTATGATATCACAGTTGAAACATGAAGTTTTGAGTTCATTATACATTTTATTTTCCAAAACTTCCATACAGTTTTAAAGGCTGAATTTTCTCACGAAGTGTTTTCTGTGTACTTTCAGATTCTATTTTTAGAAACCTTTGATCTAACAGGCCTCATGATCTTCACACCTCAGTTGTGCTCAGACCACACTGTGCTGTCTTCCTGTTAAACAAGTGATGTGCACCTCACTTACTCCTCCACTGCTGCAGACCCCCAACTAACTTTCATTATAAGTCAATGTGAACAGTCATCACTGTGCTTGCTGGCTCCTCCTCCATCAGACATCAGTCAGAGAAAGCACAGCACAAGAATGATAACTCAACACTAGAATAAACATAGACATTTTCAAAAACCTAAACCACTATGTCTATCTAATGTTAGCTGACTCTGCCTCATGGTGCTAGGAGCCAAACCTGCCAAGAAAACCACTTTGATACTGTATTTCCTGTTGTTATACTGGCCTCCATCAGCTTCTGATGCTGGATGCAGATTTGGCAGACTGTTTTTAAAGCACATATCTGTGGATTGGCAGTTTGGCAAAAAAAAATTGAAGTCAGCCTGTTATTGAGATTGATCAAGTAGCTGCAAACACAGCTCTACTGTAGATATACAGTTATGTGTGATCTTTTACAAGATGAGCAATGACTAGTTACAGCTAACTGATTTCCTCTTACAAATACAACACAAAAATCCCATCTGTTAAGTAAGTTAAGTATTGTTTTTTTCTCAAACATGAATGCCTTTGTCATGTGTGGCTAGGATGCAGACAGCTGAACGTTGAGCTTCCTATAGTACCTATAGTGCTGTTTGTTACCACAGTTAAACACTGAGGAGGTAGGGCTTAAATTGTTTATATCCCCAGATACTTTTAATAATAACTTTTTGATTCTGACAAAGCATATTATTACACTATTAGATGCTATGATATCCCACTTATATGTAGTTTTCACACTTCAGCCTCTTTTATTGACATGATCTCATGGTAATCACCTCAGTTGTGCTCCAACCACACTGTACTGCTTCTTCCTGTCAAACAAGTGACGAGAACCTCACTCACTCCTCCACCGCTGACGACCTCCATTTACGTCATTACAAAAGACTGGACACATATTGATGTCCTTTCTGGCTCCTCCTCCTTCAAAGACTTATCATATGTGTTTTTGCTAAATAGACGGTGACTGAGAGAAATAAAACGCTGAGAATTGAAGCTCTGCCGTAAGGAAATGCTTGCAAATGAATAAACATCAGATATTTATTGCAAAAGTAATTGTTTTGGCAGGAGTGTTTATTGCTGTTTAGGCATACAAAAGCTCCAAAGCACATTCATATGATACAGCATCAGTTCCAGTTGCCTCCTCAGTCTATCTGGTGGCAGCATAAATAACATTTGGCTCCGGCTGTCTTCTTTTTGCCTTTGGTCGAAATGCCACTGCTGCGTAGTTCAGGTCATCAGAGCCCACATCCTATGAAAAGAGTATTTACAGTCTTAATATGGTGACATGCTATGGTTATAATTGCCACACTGTAGCCAGGCAGGTACTGGATTGTGTCAAAGATATTTACCGAGCAGGGAGCTTCAAAAAAGGTCGTTAGTACTCTCTCATAGACAAACACTGCGACACTGTTTGTACCTCAAGCATAATTTTGGCATTTCTGTGCTACCCATATATATTCACTACAAATATATACATTGACAAGTTAATGTTAGTCCATTCAGTATAGCCCAGGCTGTTTTTCATCGGGCTCTATCAAACAGTATATATGAGAAAATGTTATGTTATCTTATTAGATTCACCTGTCTTTGCTCTGGATTCTGTTCTTCTTTATCAGCTAAGTGACAGAAAGAAAACATCTGGTCAGTTCATTGATCATTGTCTTTGGTAAACCAGCAGTTAAGCATTTTTCCAGAACATTGACACAACTTTAAGAGTATTTCCACAACCAACAAAACCAAATGTAAGATAGACAAAGTACCTGTCTGAAGTTTCCTGTTTTTGACAACCAGACCTATGATGACCATTACAAGGACAACAGTCAGACCACCGAGCACGACAATCATCAGCTCTGCTGTTCCATCAGACTCTTCTACAACCAAGATCATTAAGTTAGACTCTATTTCCCCTTTAGAGACTTGAGACCAGGATAAAGTTAGAATGGACCAAACTGAATTTAGCTAAACAGTTTCACCTTCAAATGTTTGTTAATCTACACAATGAATGAAATCTTTAGGAGAATCTTACTTTTACACTTGCTGTCCACGTCATCATGTGGCTCATCGCTGCCTTCGAAAGAAATCAATATAATCCATGTTTCAATATAAGTAGAAAAAGACATAATGGATTAATGGGAACCAAGAGACAGACTTTACTATAATCTTACCTTTAATGTTTAAATGTATTACAGTGAAACTTGGACGCCCGTCTGTGTAAAATCCACAGAAATACAGTCCAGAGTCAGACAAATCCACTTGTTTGATTTTGAGAAAGAGAGTGGTGATGTTGGATCTCATTTCAAATTTTCCACTCTGATATCCATCACAGAATGAAGCATTGCTTTTAGAATTGAACATAACAGAGATGCAGCTCATCTTGGTTCTGTTGATCAGTCTGAACCAGAATGTCATACATTCATATTTGGAAATGTTGGAGCACAGCAGTGTGGCATCTTGACCAGGCTGAGCCTCCACAGTCTGAGACTCAGAACCTGAGACAGAGATCCAGCCTGAAACACACAGCAGACAACGACAATGTTATAAAGTCATATGAAGGCAAACAACATCTCTTAATGAAGGTTATCAAGAATGTAATAAGTAAATGAGTTTAAACGGAAACATGCAATAATATTAGAGCAATGAAGTTGAGAGTAATTCAGTACTTACTGAGACTGCAGAGAATAAAAACTGTTATCAAGGTGAAGAAGTTCATCGTCGAGCGTATAACTGAAGCTCTGCAATGTCCGTAATGAGAGAGTGCCCCAGGAGGGCGGCGCTCAGTGTAAAGAGGTGGGCTGTTTTATGTTGCTTATACTGTTGCTCAAACTGACCACATACATGCTTTCAGGAGAATTAGTGTTCACGCAAACTCATTCTTCAGAAAATGTTATTCCATCATATTCTACACCAAAGTACATATAAGTCAATGAACAAAGATATATCGAAGAAGAAAAACATTAACACTGCTTGACCTCATCAGGTGGCAGAGGAGTGTCAGAAAATATGTTTGTCTGATAGCTCAGATAAAAGATAACACATTGGCAGACTCGAGCTGTTTGAAAACATGAAAAAGTGCACCAGTGTGGAGAAAGTTGTGATTAAGTTAAGATTAGCACCCTAGAGGGCACCTTATCAAGTTTTGTCCAGTGAAAGGGCACTCTGGGGGGCACTTCATCACATTTTCTCCACTGGAAGGGCCGCTTAGAGGGCACTTAATCTTGTGTTATTTGCCATAGTGGCATCCAAGAGTGCACTCTTAGGTGTGGTTGGGAGTTTGTACCTTATTGACGCATCTTGTGCAGGTTAGTGAGTTTGCTGTTAGTTAGTTAGTCAGTTTGTGAAACAGTGTGAGAAAGGGTTGATATTTTTAAGCAGCATCATTCTTGCTGCACATGCTCAGTCTTTGATGTGTGTGGTTATGGCTGGAAACCAGTCTTCCTGTGGTTGCTATTTTTGCCTTATGGTTAGTTTCTATACTTTGTTTTTCCAGTTATAGTTATAGTTATTTGTACAGTTATAGCATTTTATTTCTTTTAATGACCGAGGGTGGGAAAGTAAATTTTTTCTTTTTAGACTTCCAAATTTCTGACTTCAGAAGCATCATGATTCTCATCTCAGCTGTGCTCTGACACCACTGCTGTCTCTTCCTGTCAAAACAAGTGTGTGTGCACCTCACTCACTCCACTACTACGTCAGTCAAGACAGGGTGTGAGGCCAAAGGGCAAGCTGAAAGGACGATTTTGTCAAGAGGAAGGAAGGCAACAAAACTCATCTCATGAATGAAAAGTTGTACATTTATATACATACAAGGAATATTATTACAAAATCACATTTCTTCTGGTGACAAGGGAGATGATCACACTCAAAACATCTGTTTCACCACCAGGTACACTTCAAGTTTCCCTGTTCCAGGACAGGCCCGAAAAACCTAATTACAGTGGGTGTAAAGAGAGAAATAACACAATCTCTGCGGAGCGACAAAGGTCTCTGCCATCAAAGTCTATAAAATCCATGTGAAAACAAAGGTAGTGCTGGAGTTCTTCCTCATTCACCAACTATAGTGCTCAGCAGCTCTGTGCTCCATGCTGCCACTGCTGGCCAGAAGATACATTGCAGTATTTCACACATTTTCTGAGCCCCTGTGTGACTGAAATGTTGTGAGATGGCCGTCCAGCTATGTGATACAGACTTCCTGGATCAGGGCTTCATTTGATGCCTCCTAAGTCTTACTAATTGCAGAATAAAGAAGGTCAGGTTTCCACTTCTTTCTTGTTTTTGGATGGAAAATCAATGCTGCACCCATAGTCCAGATTCTGCAAATAAGAGTCAGATAATTTTCACATGTAAGCTTCACATAAACTGCTCCATAAAATGATAGACTAATCAAACCTTGAGGTGATTTAACTTGCTTATAAACAATAGAACATATGAAGTAAATCAGTCTGATCTAACAGAAGCTGCTATTAATACATTTCATTGTTGAGCAGTAGGTTAACTGTGATATTGACAACAGGATATTGACAAAAACAACATAAGGAAAATAGAGGACAGCTCTCAGACAGTACCTTTTTGCCTCATTTTGACAACAAGGACAATGATGACTTTAGTGAGAACAACAGTCACACCGCTCAGGATCACACTCATCAGGCTCAGTATTTCACCAGACTCTTCTACAAGAAAGATCATTCAATTACTTGAACTGTGATCAAGTAGCATATATTGTGCATATTTCCGAGTGAAATACTTTTCTTATACTTTACTGGCTTGAAATCTAATATTAGCACTGATTAATGACCTTTGTTGACTGATGCAATATCAGTTCACAAATTCTAATCTGCATATTAAATCCTAATGAGAGGATGGGAGGACATTTAACATCTTGACATCTTCACCAGGCTGAACCTCCACAGTCTGAGACTCAGAACCTGAGACAGAGATCCAGCCTGAAACACACAGCACAGACAAGATGAGATATACTCACGAGCTGAATACGCAACAACAATACTTAATCTTAATGAGAGGATGGGAGAACATTTAATGTGCTACTGAAAAAAATCTCTCACATTAATTATCAGATTTTGACAGGATATTTCCTTAACAATCTATCTCTGACCACGTTGAAATAAGATACATTCTGTTTCCTTTGTGCTGGCAGCTAAAGGACACTGTACGACAATTCTTACCTTGAACCTTTAAATATGTTGCACTGACAAGTACTGAGTATCTGTTCATGTTAAATCCACAAAAATACAACCCAGAGTCAGACACATCAAGGCGCTTGATTTTGAGAAAGACGGTGGAGACGTTGGAGCTCATTTCAAATTTGCCCTTTTCGACTCCGTTGCAGAGTGAAGCAGGCTCAGTAGAACTGTACATGGAGGAAATACAGCGGGGCTGCGTTCTGTTTACCAGTGTGAACCAGACTGTCTGAGTGGGAGAACTGGAAAAGTTGGAGCACAGCAGTGTGACATCTTCACCAGGCTGGACCTCCACAGTCTGAGACTCACCTGAGACAGAGATCCAGCCTGAAACACACAGCAGAGAGATTTAGTTCTCAGCTGATAATGCAACAACAAACAGATTAAAACGACCCTAAAACATTGCTGTAGAAACTATAAACTAAACAGAATTTAGCCATGGACTAACACTAAGAGAAATTAAATACCAGTACTTACTGAGGCTGCAGAGAAATAAAGCTGGTATCATCATCAGAGTAAAGCTCATCATTGTGCGTATGATCGTCTTGCTGTAATGGAGGCTAAAATCTCCAGGAAGGAGGTTTAAAGAGAAAAGTTCTTCTACGTGTTAATCACTGACCACATAACCTACCATACCACTCACACAAAGTGTTCTATTTTAGTGACAGCACAACATGTGCAGAGAAAGAACAGATTGGTGCAAACGTAGGAGGATAGATACGAACAGATTTGCACCCACATAATGCAATGCAAGTCAAGCTATGGACCAAACTCTAGCTGAGTGCAGATTAAACTAACAGTGATCTTGTTATATTGTGGTAAGACAGTGGAAAGGCATATATGCAAAACACAGAAAGGGGGCAGTAACTCAGTAATCATTGCAGTACCATCAATTCTAAATTCACAACATAGAACTTGGCCTTTATTTGAAACCGTCTGCCTTTATTCCCACTTCATTTTACCTTCTTCTTCTTATAATTTGATCACATTTTAGTGAAATGTCTCCTTGTTGAACAGAGACTGACCTGTATCTGTTTGGAATTACCACATGGGAGGGAAGAAGCCTGAGCTTGTTGTCCATGCACTAATGTGACGATTTTATACAGTAGTTAGAGGGCCTTAACATTGCAAGTTGTTTGTTGAGTCCAGTTAAAACTTTACAATTTACATTTGTTTCACATGCGGGAAACTATATTTCAAATCTAATCACAGCAATTAGTTCACACATCACTACAAACAGGTTACATACTGCGGTCTGCTCCTGTGACCAATTCCGTAAACAGCTTTATTTAACAATTTATTCTATTTTATAAAAGATTCTGAATCTGTTGAGATGTGGTGTGTGTATTTGTAGGTATCTCGAGGTATGTGCAGCTTTTGTTGCGTGTGGTTTTATAGCAAAGAGCTGAAGGCCAGTCTTCCTGTGGCTTTCGTTCAGACTGATACGCTCAGTGTTTTCACCACAGTGGAAACTGAAAAAAGGGGGAGGGAGGGTGTACAAGACTTGTTGCTTGCCCAAATGTGAAAGCAAACACAGCCAGGGCAGAAAACTACCACTCTAGCAGAAACACACAGTCTTGTGGGAACATTAGTGTATGTTTTTATCTATTATCTTGAACCTCTTCTCCTTTGCAGGGTTGTGGGGGGGACTGGAGCCAATCCCAGCTGACATTGGGCGGGAGGTGGGGTAGACAGGTCACCGGTTAATCACAGGGCTGACACATAGACACATCAAACAGGGTCACCAATAAATCTAACCTACATGTTGTTGGACTGTGGGGGGAAGCTGGAGCACCCCGAGGAAACCCACACAGACACGGGGCAGAACATTCAGACTCCACACAGAAAGGCCCCAGCCGGCTGACACCACCCTCTCGCTGTGAGGCGACAGTGCAAACCACTGTACCATCGTACCACCTATGTTTTTTCCTAAAAATAGACTTTACAGGCTCCTCCTGCATCAAACCTCATACGTGTTTGTCATTTTGCAGTCAAGTCTGGGTCTTACTGGCAACCCAAGACGTCAGTATTTGACAGCCTGAATGACTGACCCCACCTTTAACATTAAACCTTTCTATCTTTTAGATATAGAGGGGAGGCATTCTGGCGTCTGACACATCTTTCTAATTGGAATAATGACTCATTTCATCTGAGATCACATGTTGATGTTTTTGCACCCCCACAATATAACAGAGTCCAGCAGCAGATCTGCCATTCAGTATCCCCACATTGGTATCCTATGTAGTCTAACATTAAGGCATCCTAATGAAATAAGGATTACATAACAGGATATGGCTCTATTTTCAGACACAATAGATTCATGGGAACAAATTTTGATAGACTCAAAGTACTATCAAAGTTAAGTTCTGTGCGGGGTTCAAACGATGCATGTGATATTTCCTTAATAAATTTAATAAGTTGAGCTCTCTGCTTGTTTTCACTATATAATATTACATCATTGCCTTGTAATTTAATCTGTTCATGTGGATGTGCAATGGAAAAAGAGTGTCTTGAAGTTTGAAGGCTGCTGAAGTAATTCAATAAGTCTGTGTAAAGTAGAGATTGAT